TCATCCTCTTCTTCCCCCCCCCCCCCCCAAAAAAAAAAGTTTGAGCTGGCAGGTGGCATGGTGCTTAAGGCACTAGATCTCATATGGTGGACCCCATGGTTCAATTCTCAGACCTGGTGGCCTGGGGAAAAAAAAAAAACAACACCCATTGTGCATGCATGCATGCTCAAAATCCTGAGAGAATGGAAGAGAAGGGACCATGGCATGGCCATATCCCCACGGGGTGATTTCTCTCTTCTCTGTCTAGTGAGCACACAAACCCTATGGCAGAAAACAAAAACAAACAAAAACTCACAAACAAATCCCACAGCTTTAGATCAATTTTTAACTTAACTAGCAGTACAGTGTCTTTTTAGGAATAGAAATACAACTTTTACCTGACGCAAACAGCTATAAAAGGATGCCTACAATTTGATCACTGAGCACATACACTACACCTGCACTTACGATTTTATTACTGAACAGGGTCAGTCTGGTAACTGACCAACGTTAACAGTAATCAATCAATAGATAGTAACCGATCATTAGCAAATAAATTGCAGTTTCATATTCTGAATTAGCCCTTCGTGCTGCTGTTAAACATTTTCTTAAATTTTATTTTTTTTGCCATAGCGCTTGTACACTCACTAGAGAGAGATGGGGGATATGGGTGAGAAATCACCAAACCTCCACACTACCTGCAGGCCCTAGAAAGCTGTCATTTCTAATACAGAAAAAAGATCAAAATTCGAGACAGGGGCCAGCAAGTGGCATAGTAGTTAAGATGCTGGACTTCCACGTCTCCAGTCCCGAACCTAATGGCTTGAAACTCATGCCAGGGGCCAGGCATATGTGTGTGAGTTCCCAAAACCCTGAGAATGGAGAAGGAATTGCAGCATGGCCATCCCTGCTGCGGTGTGCTTTCTCTGTCTCTTTGGCAAGCACACGTACCCTCAAAAATAATAACATAGCTTTTTTAAATACTTACGACTCTTACTGGAGAGAGATCTTAAATATAAAATTGTATCTGAGTAAGAAACCATTGTTGCTTAAAAGACATCATAAAGGTTAAATTTGTTGTGATCCCATTTCATCCTAACATACTTCTGAGTGAAAGCAGGCTTGGTAAGAGTGATAATACTAAGTTTCCAACTTCAAAAGAAAACATTCACAGGAACCAGCAGTTAGCGTAATGGCTTTGTCGCTGGACTCCCACGTAGTCGACCACGGTTCGTGTCCCAGACTCGGTGGCTTAACCTAATGGCTTGAAACTCATGCCAGGGGCCAGGCATATGTGTGTGAGTTCCCAAAACCCTGAGAATGGAGAAGGAATTGCAGCATGGCCATCCCTGCTGCGGTGTGCTTTCTCTGTCTCTTTGGCAAGCACACGTACCCTCAAAAATAATAACATAGCTTTTTTAAATACTTACGACTCTTACTGGAGAGAGATCTTAAATATAAAATTGTATCTGAGTAAGAAACCATTGTTGCTTAAAAGACATCATAAAGGTTAAATTTGTTGTGATCCCATTTCATCCTAACATACTTCTGAGTGAAAGCAGGCTTGGTAAGAGTGATAATACTAAGTTTCCAACTTCAAAAGAAAACATTCACAGGAACCAGCAGTTAGCGTAATGGCTTTGTCGCTGGACTCCCACGTAGTCGACCACGGTTCGTGTCCCAGACTCGGTGGCTTAAAACTCACACCGGGCGCGTGTGCATGTGTGCCCAAGATCCCGAGAGGAGAATGGAGGAGAAGGGATTGTGGCATGACCATCCCCCCTGGGGGGTGATTTCTCACTTTCTGTCTCTATGTCTCTCTCCGTCTGGCGAGCACATGCACCCTATAGCGAAAATCTCTCCAAAGAAAAAGAAAAAGAAAACATTCATCGATATGCCACTGAGTGTCTTGTTTATGACAGGGCTTTGAGTTCCCAACCCATTATTTTGGTTTTTGACTTTTTAAAGTTTTTTCATTTATTTCTTCCATGGGATAAGGAAGGAGGCACTGGGGGTTGGGGAACAGGTACTTCCAACAGGGTCCCCACACCATGATCCCTCCCGTAGGGCTTCAGCATTGCTCCACATCTTACTGCAGCACCGCAGCCAGCTGCCCAACCAGACTATTATTGATAGTCTATGCAAGAGTTTTTATCAAGGAGAAATGAATTCTCTTTATTTTCAATGGAATGAGATCATGTGTTTTGTCTTCAAATATATTAATGGGTCATAAACACCAGCAAACATGCTCTTTAAAAAAATGAAAAAACTCCTTTCCCTTCCCCGCCTTTTACAGAAAATGCCATTATCTATACTCTTTTGTACAACTGCTAGCCAGTTACCAGTCATCTTTGACTTAAACCAAAAAGCCTGGGATCTCTCGTCTAAGGCTCGCTCTCGACTCAGTCTCTCTCCCCACCCCATTCTAATCTTTTAGCAGACCTGGCTGCCTCTATAACCCACGTATGTCATCATCTAGTGTCCCTGGCAGCTGGAGACGATACAGTTGACACTTAAAAGGTAAGTCATTAAGTCTAACTTTTCTAGGTCATTCCACTGCCTGAAGCCTTAGTAACGCTCCATCTTTTTCTTCCCCCAGTACATGCATGGTCTCTCCCTTTTTATTTCAATGTCACCTTACCAGAAGCCTTCTAAGACACTTCATACAAGAGAGTCTGTCACATTTTATGCCCATTACCTTATCTTGAATTTTATTTTTTTGAAGAGGTTTTTGCCATAGGGCGGGTGCACTGACCAGAAAGAGAGCGAGAAATCACACCCCGGGGGGATGGCCACGCCGCAATCCCTTCTCCATTCTCCTCTTGGGATCTTCGGCACGCACACATTTGCACCCAGCGTGAGTTTAAGCCACCGGGTCCAAGACTTGAAACGCAGTCGACTACATGGGAGTCCAGCGACATAGCCATTACGCCAACTGCTGGTCCCTTGAATTTTATTTTTTAAGAGAGAATTTATTTTTGCTATAAGGCACATGTGCTCACAGGCGGCAAGGGATAGATCACCCCAACCCCCAAGGAGTTGCCACACCAAAAATTTCTTGAGAATCTCTTCTCTTCTTGAGATTTTGGGCATATGTGCACCTAGCATGAGTTTTAAGCCACCAAGTATGAGACTCGAACCAGTCAGTCACGTGGGAGTCCAGAGCCTTAACCACTACAGCACCTGCTGGCCCCAATCTTGTATTTCTTTCTTCATAGCAATTAACCCTTTCCAACTCACTGAGTTTATAACTGGCAGAAACCGAACACTTTCGTTTTCCTTTATAGTCTTTCTTTTTTAAGAATTAACTAACTTTATTATTTTCCAGTTTGATCAGGCAAAGCTAGAGAGAGAGGGAAAGTGAGAAAGCAAGCCACCAGGTCCAGGACTTGAACTGTGGTCGGCCATGTGGCAGTCCAGCACCTTTAACCACCAGACCACCTGCCGGTCCCTTCCTCTCTCCTTATGAACCTGTTCTGAAAAGGTATTTTCATTTTGCTGGTATTCATATAGGTTTCTATGTTTAGTAATATTTGCCTTGGTAGATCCTGAAATCCAGGTTATGGCAGCTTCCTAAAAATGAGTACAGTCTTATCTTAGGTACCTGAGTTTCTGAGGGAAAGTGTGTGCATTTCATCTAGCTTCTAGGAGATGCGGTTAAACTGAGAGCTGCTGTACAGCATCTGCTCTTCTAAAATCAGAAGGCTGTCCAGGTAAGATCTAATGGACCTCGTCATTATCCCTATCTTACTCTGAGGCAGTCAGGGTCTGACCCAGGTACTGCAACCCACAAACAAGAGATTTTCAAATGACACACTTTTTTTTTTTTTTTTTTTGAGAGGTTTTTGCTATAGGGAGCATGCACTTGCCAGACAGAGAGACAGAAAGTGAGAAATCACCCCCCAGGGGGTATGGCCACGCCGCAATCCCTTCTCCTCCGTTATCCTCTCGGGATCTTGGGCACGCACGCACATGCGCCCAGCGTGAGTTTTAAGCCACCAGTTCCGGGACGCGAACCGCAGTCGACTACATGGGAGTCCAGCAACGTAGCCATTACGCTAACTGCTGGTCCCAAACGACACACTTTTCATTAATGAAAAGTCAAGTAGCATAATTTTAACATCAAGAAAAGAGTAAACTGAAACAAGCAGTATTTATTTTATACAGGTGAAGTGGGCACTTTAAGTAAACTATAAAAAAGGAAATTCTGTTTACATGGTTTTACATATTAATTACTCTGGAAAGTTTCTGAACTCTGTTTAGTAGCAGATCTCCTTTCTTGATAGTTTCTTGGTACTGCCAGTTCTTGCTATCAGGCCTATAAATAAGTTCAAGAAAAAAAAAAAAAGAATTATTTACCAGTCACATTATTCCATGACAATAGCTGACCTACTTTTAAAAGATGCCGCCTGAAATTTAAAAAGAAAGAAGTAAAAAGCACTGACGAATGCCTCTTACTCTAAGCAGCATAACCACGATATACAAAATGAGAGTACCTGTTGGTTTCTACTATTTCATTCACTTTATCTATTTTGCAGTGTAGTCTCCCAGCAGCAATAAATCTGGAGAGTTCCCTAGTTGAGAGGAGAAATAAGATTAGTCTTATACAAAACTCTTAGAAAATACCAACTGCCCTGAGTTATTAGTTTCTCTTCCAGCTTGAGCCGTTGCGCTTGCAGTTAGTTGAGATGTCTCTTTTGGTGGATCGTAGGGATTAAGTCATCTACCAGGATAAAAACCAGGAAGCCATTCAGAACTACCTGAGTCTGGAGAACTGCTGGTGTGCTCATCGTTCTAACTGTAAGAACTATATCAAACAAAAGACCTACAAACAAGATTATGAGGGACCAGCAGTTGGCATAATGGCTGTGTCGCTGGACTCCTATGTAGTTCAAGTCCTGGACCCGGTGGCTTAAACTCACGCTGGGTGCATGCGCGTTTGTGCCCAAGATCCCGAGAGGAGAGTGGAGGAGACGGGATTGAGGTGTGGTCATCTCCCCTGGGGGGTGATTGCTTGCTTTCTGTCTCTCTCTGTTTTCCTGGCAAGCGCACGTGTCCTGTAGCAAAAACCTCTCCAAAAAATAAAAAATAAAAATGATTATGAAATGCAGCCTGTGGGTATGTAAACATGGTAACAGCAGTAGTGTCTACTGAAATAGTGACCCTCTTCCCCAACAGTGTTTTGCTAGGAGAAATGATGATGGTATCACCTAAATGTAAGTTGTTAAGGGAGGGAAAAAAGAATCTATGAAAACTCAAACTTGAAATTCTCAGAAAGTAAGGCCCTTCTAGGAAACAACTGGATCTCGGTGGTACTCCTTTGCCTCTAGAGCTGGTCCTAGAACAGTAGGGGAAAGGCGAACAATTCAAATGCCACTTGAAAGGGGTAAGTGCAACAACACTGCAGTGTATCTAAATGGCACTTTCCCGCCTCAGTGCGGCTTCAGTGCATCTCCTTCCACAATGTCCCACTAGCGAAGGCTTATCACCTACCCCATATCAATGCTAATAAATGGAGGGGATCGAACCTGGCTGAGGCCCAGCTATGAGGTGGCAGAGCTAGAGCAAGGCAGGCCCAGCTTTGTTCTCTACATGGCCTGTCATCCCTTTCACCAACACAGGAAAACCACATTAGTAAGGGCCAGCCCCTACCCTAAGTTACCACAATTTAGAAAAGAAAGAAAACTTAAAAGACACCAGTATCCTATTTTAACAAAGGTCATTTTTTAAAAATGAAATGCTGCTTTTCTTTCAGTGGAAGACAGGTGATATTTCTGGTGATGCGTAATTAAGAGGTTTAGGTTTCCTTTAAGACGTCTGCATTTCACTGAATACCAACTTTATCTCAAAACAAACTGATAAACGCATACTGAAGTGTTTAGCGAAAAATGTGTAGGTGTCTGAAACCTACTTTGACGTGGCTTAAGAAAAAAGGATGTGACAAATACAACAAAAAGTTATAATTCAGTGTGTAATTCTTTAGAGTGTTCTGTATGTTTGAATATTTTCGTAATAAAATATTGGCTGAAACAAAACCACTTAAGAAGAGAATGGTCTTATTTAAATGAAATTCAACTGCATTTAAAATTACTACATAGCTCTCACCATTTTTGCTGTGGACCACTCAATGTCTAGACCAGTGTTTGGGAACCACTGATCTAGATACCACGTGGGCATCACACACCCTCAACGTCTGCTCCTCCCCATTCCTACTCCCATTTCCCTGGTCTGGTCCGAGGCACTGCTACATCTCTTCATGAGCAACTGAGTGGCTCCACTGAGCTGTCTCCTTGCTCTGAGTAAGACACAGCATGAGACCACATTGTTGTCTTGTTTAAAATCTTCCCAACTTTCCACAGCACCGAGTTTTACACCCGAGACCACAGCATGAACTACAAGGCCCTACACAACGTTAGGGCTCAACAGGTGGCTGGACGGCCCCCAACCACGCTGCAGCCACACTGGCATCTCTTGTTCCTCTAATAGCCAAGTGTGCTGCCTTTTCTGCAGCTAAAGAATTCCACATGGCTGACTGCTCTCTGCTGTGAGAACAAAGCTCTACTCCCCAGCAAAACACATCTTAGGTATCAACAGTTCCCCACTGATAGAACTTTTCAAAAATCTCTACAGAGTCCTTTCTATCTGACATTATCCTTTGTATTAGTTTTCTTGCCATCTCTCTCCTAAAACTACAACGAAAGTCCAGGAGAAAGGGGACCTAAAACAATACCAGACAGTAATGGCAATGTTTGTTAAAGCATTGATTCAAGTGCTGAAAGCCCCACATCTGATCAGAGCTGAAGTAGCAATCTAAAAATTGGAAGGCATAATCAGAAGAAATATAACCAGAGGGAAAAGATGAGCTAGGGTCATTCCTACAGCTGAATGTGGGCTACAAACACTCCTTTTTTGAGGTTTTTGCCATAGGGTAAATGTGCTCACCAGAGGGGTGGGGGGAGAGAGAGAGGGAGAGAGCGTGACCATGCCACATCCCTTCTTCCCCTGACACCATACTGGATAAGGAGAGAGAGAGAGAGAGAGAGAGAGAGAGAGTGACCATGCCACATCCCTTCTTCTCCTGACACCATATTGGATACACCTGCACACGTGCCTGGCATGATTTTGAAGCCACCGGGTTTGGGACTTGAACTGCAGTTGGAGAGAGAGAGAGAGACCATGCCGCAATTCCTTCTTCCCCTGATACCATGGATACACCTGCACACGTGCCGAGAGAGAGAGAGAGAGAGAGAGAGTGACCATGCCACATCCCTTCTTCTCCTGACACCATATTGGATACACCTGCACACGTGCCTGGCATGATTTTGAAGCCACCGGGTTTGGGACTTGAACTGCAGTTGGAGAGAGAGAGAGAGACCATGCCGCAATTCCTTCTTCCCCTGATACCATGGATACACCTGCACACGTGCCCGGCATGATTTTGACGTGCCCAGCATGATTTTGAAGCCACCGGGTGTAGGACTTGAACTGCAGTTGGCCGTGTCCAAGTTCAGTGACATAACCACTATGCCATCTGCTGGCCCCAATAAGACTATTTTTGATAACTTGTGCAATGACCTTTAGCAAATCACTTACCCTTAATCAGTATTGCCATCTGTTAAAGGAAGGAACAGAACACGACGGAGGCAGAGATGACAGACAAGACTACAAGCATCGTATTTAAGGAAGAAATTATTTTTTTCCTTAAAACTGAAGGAAGCAATACAAATTGCTACAAGATCACACATTAAAAGGCAACTTTAAAACATAAATGAATGTGGTGTTATTTAAACTTACTGATCAATGAATTCCACACCAACACCAAACGCTTCTGCCATATAGCCCAGAGTTAATGACCTGTATGATTCCAACAGCTGGCTGTATGCATGAATTCTCATTTCTCTCACATAGTATCGATAATGAGGAGCAAAAAGCCAGTCCTTTTTCATTTCCTGTTCCACAACGGCTGCAATGAATGAGATGATAAATGATAAGACTCTCTCTCTCAGATAGATTAAAAAACTAAAGCGACTCTAGTTGAGTCTGACAGGTAAGATTCAAACAAGTTGAGCATTTTTCACTACCCTTCCAGTCCTCCCATCAACACCAGCGGCGGGAATGAGGGGCAGGCCAGCTGTGCAAACACTGCACTTAGGCAAAATCAGCGGTTTGACATCCCCCATGAGAAAGAGTCCTGCTTCTATAGGATCTGCTCACAGATAAGAACATTCCAAGACCCTGAGTGGATGCCTGCCACTGTAGGTAGACCTGAACTGGACACAGTCAACCCTGTTTTTTCCTATACATACATACCTGGGTACCACTGTACTAATATTTTAACCATGGAAAACTACTCATGCCCTTAAGTAGAAGTAAGCAAAAATTCATTTTACTCTTTTTTTTTTTTTTTTTTGGTTATAAACAATTCTAACAGGAACAGCAGATACAGTGACAAATGACTTAGAAGCAATAAATAGTCTATTAAAACAAAACACTTCAAACAGGGCTTGAAGATAACTAACAAAACTGTAACAGTTATTTATAACATAATCAGTTAACAGCCTTGATCTAGAAATGAATGGTAAAATGTACATAGGGTATTAATAAGCAGTGTACAAATACAGTTATTTTACTAAATAACTACCATATGCTCTTGTTTTAGGTAGGATACAGTAGTGACCAGAAGGCAAGATCTTTACTACGTCTGACAGAAACTACATCTTCAAAGGCAGAGATAGATGAACAGGACAAATCTCAGGGGATGACAGATTCTGTGGAAAAAATACAGGTGACGAAACAGTGACCCTCTACTGGATGGGGTGGACATGGAAGCCCTGAGGAGCTGGCTCAGCAGAGAGCAGGAAGCATAGGACAATGCAAATGACATACGGGTCCCATGGCAGGAACATGGCTAAGCCCAGGAATAGCAAGTAGGACATACTCAGACTTTAGGCAGGGAAAAAGCTATAGAGGTAAAGGTGGATGAGAGCTAAGAATCAAAAATGTACTTATGTATATGGCTTGAATAATATGGGAACCCCTGGCGGAGCAGCCTTTCTGGGGTGTTTTTCTAAAGGAGGAGGGGTGGGATTCAAGCACACTTTGAAAGTGTTCAGGAGCGCCCATTGGACACTTTGGGGTGCAGGCATGAACTTGGTGATCACTGCCATCCAGTTATGTTTCATGAAGACAGACAAGGGCAACGACTCGGCTAAATAAGGCAGACAGAAAGGTCTAGGTCCCTAGATGAGGAAGTGGGTCCCAAGAATTCAAGAGGATGTTGCTACAGAACCAAAAGAGCAAAGCTGTGGCAAGAAGCCAAGGCTGGTCACCTTCAAAGCAGGAAGGATGAGTTAGAGAACAGGTGATTTAGTAGCATGGAGACCAATGGCCACTAAACGTCAGATGGTGCTCCTCCTCACTAATGAAAGAAACATATAAAACATCAACATGAATCCGACTGCCGAGAGTATGGGAGACGATGGAGACAAACCCTCAAATTCTGTAACTTCAGAGAAGTATAAACTGGGTAAATGTAAATTGGCACAGTATTTCTGGAGGGCAGTAGGACCAAGATGTAACGCAGTCACCATTTACACAAGTCTGGCATTTGGGCTTCTTCCCTAAGGAAATGACAAGTAGGAAAGATGCACTGTAAGAGTGTTCAAAAACAGGGCCGCTGAATAGACTAAACCAGGAAACAACCTAATTTCCTGTCAGTAGAGAATAAATTATGGCACATCAGAAACAGCGAAATACCAGGAGGTCCTTAACAAAGGAGAAGTGGAAGCTCCAAGGAGCTCCACCTGACTAATTTGCCACTGTATGTCTTCTACATGACAGTTAAAAATACTTACTGTCTAACTTGCTTGTCACAGTGACATGAAAAGACATTCACATTATATTGTAAAGGGGAAAAAAAGTTACTTAGAAAACAGCAATGTAAAATATATCTACAGCTCATATTTAAAAGTGTTAGTTTCTTGTATCTGGATACCGTGTCCCTGAAGGCACACCTGAAACATGATCACAGCAGGTGCTGCTAGTGTAAGGACACTGGCTATCAGAGATTAAAGAAAGCCTTTCACTTGTCCTTCATACGTACTGTTGGAAAGTTTTCGATGTCTACATATAGCCTCGTGTTTTTGTTTACTCTTCAAAGTGCACATAAAAGAATAAAAGGTCTAGATGGATGTAACAAAATGTTTAAATGGTTATCTGTGGAACAATATCGTGTGAATGTGCATATGGATTTTGAGGGTGGGGTAGCATACACTACTATTCACTTTCTCAGTTTATTTTTTTTCTAAAAGCAATCAGGTATTACCTAGAAAAGGATACTACTTCATTTTACGACTGAAATTATTTTAAAGCACCTTCATCTATGACTCTTTGCAGATGCAATCTTACAAAAACAATAAGCTCTACATGTCTCACTATACAAATACAGATCAATGACATGAATAATAATCCTGTCATCAAAAGAAGATTCAACTATTCTGTCTTCTGCATTTAAAATGCCTGGGAAATTTATAAATTTAGGAGGTTAATATTGCAATCATTCCAAGGTTTTCTAAAGTCATCAATTTTATTATACTAGAATGGAATTCTCCCCCCACCCCTTTTTCGGAGATGTTTTTGCTATAAGGTGCGTGCACTCGCCAGAAAGCAAGAAATCACCCCCCAGGAGGGTTGGCCATGCCGCAATCCTTTCCCCTCCATTCTCCTCTCAGGATCTTGGGCACGCACGCACACGCGCCCAGCCTGAGTTTAAGCCACCGGATCTGGGACTCAAAACAGTCGACTGCATGGGTGTCCAGCGACATAGCCACTAGGCCAACTGCTGGTCCAGAATTTTCCCCTTATTGATTTACTTAATACAGCATTTACACAGAGCACTCAATAACGTACCAAATACTCTGATGATGTCAAGATCATTATGAAAATTTAAAAAAAGCATAAGGTCTGCATCCAGAATTTCTAGTTAGCAGAAGAGACAAACTAAGAATCACAAAAGAATGTGCTAAGTTTTAAGAGATAGTGCACGTGGCCAATAAGCACATAAAAAGATGTTCAGCATACCTAGTCATTAGAGAAATGCAAATCAAAATCACAGGGAGATTCCCTTTCACACTAAGATGCCTATGTTAAAAAGACGGGCGGTAACAAGCACTGGGTACGGGGAACTGGAACCCTCACACTACTGATCGGAAGGTCAATGGTGCAGTTGCTTCGGAAAACAGTCCGGCAGTTCCTTAAAAAAGGCAATCAAAGAGTTAACATGTTGCCCAGCAATTCCACTTAAGTCCACAGAAACACCTGTATGCAAATGTTCATTCCAGCGTATGTATAATAAAAAGTGGAAGCAACTGAAAAGTCTATCAATTAATGAATGGATAAACAAGATGTATATTTATATAATGAATTATCATTTGAGATGAAAACAAAATGAGAGACCAGCAGTTAGCATAATGGCTATGTCACTGGACTCCCATGTAGTTGACCACAGTTCAAGTTCTGCACCCAGTGGCTTAAATTCACGCCAGGCGTGTGTGCGTGTGTGCCCAAGATCCCGAGAGAAGAATAGAGGAGAAGGGATTGCGGCGTGGCCATCCCCCCTGGGAGTGATTTCTCACTTTCTATCTCTCTGTCTTTCTGGGGAGCACACACGCCCTTATAGCAAAAAAAAAAAGTACTGATACATGCTATTAACATGATGAGCCATGAAGCATTATGCTTAGTGAAAGAAGTCAGGCAGAAAGGCCACAAATTGTATGACTCTACTTACAACAAATGTCCAGATAAGTAAATTCAGAGAAACAGAAAGAATGTTAGTGGCTGGCAGAAGCCAGGGAAAGGGAGGAATGGGAGTGACTGCTAATGGGATGGGTTTCCTTTTGGGGTGATTAGATGTTCTAGAGTTAGTGGTGATGGTTGCACATCCCTGTCAATATAAAAACCACTGAATTACACACTTTAAAATGAGCAATTTTGTGGTAAATGATTTGTATCTTGATTTTAAAAAAGAAAGACATCAAAAAAAAAAGCCACAGGAAGGCAGAGAACTGAGAGACTTGTTTAGATGGGAAAAAAGAGGGAAAGTCTCCATATTTAAGTTGAATGATAGGCTGGAGACCCTCCAGCACCGTAAGGGGAGAAGACCGAGTCTCAACAGAACCTTGGTACAAAAGCGTCCGAGAGGAGAAAGCTGACAGAGTACCTCGTGCTGCCTGTTCCAACGTGACCTGCGGTAACTAGGAAGGACTCAGCCTAACTTACGTGTGTGGAGAAGGTGCTCCAGGACCACTGTGCCAGCTCACTGCGGGAACACATCACGACTTGGAGTCCTCCCTTCCCATTTTTTCCAAATGCTAGCTATTGGGCTGTCAGAAAAGTCATGATGCATTTTTACGTAGAAAACAGAAAAAATATGTCATGACTTTTCTGACGATGCAATATTTACCCTGAAATTTGCAGCTGAAAAAAGGAAGATCTGTAAGTTCTAGAAAAATCACTTGAGAAGGACCTTTGAGTCAACTTGGTCCAAGCTAACTCTTTTGTCATCTTAAAATCCAAGCAGGGCTGTGTATGTAGGATCACTGTAATTTCACTTTGGAGAAAAACAAGTGCTTTCAAAGGATTGCAAAAGGAATAAACTCATTGGCAAATTCAAGGCTCAGTTAATCTCAACCCAAAAGGAGATTCAGAATTCCCTCACATCTTTCCCCCCAGAAATGCAATACACATAACCATTTGCTCGCTTCGGCCTTATGTCCTCTTAAGACACTAAACCAAGGGTCTAGCAAACTTCTTTGGCCAAAGGTCAGAAAGCAAGTATCTCTAGGTTTTGCAAGCCACTGTCACATACTCTTTTTTAACAATGCTTTAAAAATGTAAACCTCACTCGCCCTGGCCACACACACACAGGCCAGTTTGCTGAACCTCTCTCAACAAAACTAGGCAGAAAATTAGCCATGTTATTGGCACAATACAATTTCAGATATAAGAAGAATCATTTTAGGTTACTTGCACAAAGAATCAGTAAGATGAATACAGATAATCGAAATAAGGAAATGTATTCTTACCTAATGATTGGAAGAAAACTGAGTAACGACATTCATAGAGTGAAAATAGATACTGCCGAACTGCTGGGAGACTGTGCAACACTTCAAGAATCTCTGCTCCTTTAATGACCTAGGGATTTACCAAGAGATTATGAATAAACCTTATGCTTCAAGATTTTTATGTATTTAAATAAAAAAGGCACAGGGAAGTCCTTAGTCTTTTTATTTTTTGTTATGGAGCATTTACACTTGCCAGAGAAACAGAAATCATTCCTTCTCCTCCCATCTTCTCTTAGGATTTTGGGCACACAAGCACACACACCTAGTGTGATTTTTAAGCCACTAGTCCAGGACATGAACTGCAAGGCCAGCCAAGTGGGATCGAGCACTTTAACCTCCATGCCACTTACTGGCCCACATACGACAGTCTTTAAATATAAGAGCTAAAGGTTCAGTCTTACCTTTTCCCTGAGATCTGGTCTTTCTAAGGCAATCATGCTTACATAGACAGTGTAAGTCACAAATGTTTTATAATCCATGAGTTCGTAGGATGTAAATGTTGAAACAGTGTCAAGAAAGAGTTCAGCTGCCTGTTTGAAATCACGAATAGCCACACAATAAAGACCCTGATACACTTTTAGGCGGTTTCTCCTGTCCCAGTCTCCTCCTTCTTCTATTAAGCTATTAAAAATAAACAAAAAATAAAAAAAGAAAGCTGTAAGGTCATAATCTGGAAACAGACAACGCTACTTTAAAAATTTTTTGTATTTTCAGAGAGAACAACTTGAACCAAAAAGAAATATTTTACTAAGTATTTCAAATATTTGACCAAATTACTAGTTATAAATAAAACAGGGAAATACTGTTTTTTTTCACCACAGGGTGTATACACTTGTTGGAGAGAGAGAAAGAGGGAAAGTGAGAAATCACCCTCCAGGGTAGATGGCCACCACCACAATCCCTTCCCCCCACTCACCTCCTGGGATTTTGAGTATGCACACACATACACCAGCATGATTTTTAAGCTGCCAGGTCCAGGGCTCCAACCGCGGTTGGCTTTGTGGGAGTCCAGCACCTAAACCATTATGCCACCTGCTGACCCCAGGCAAGTATCTTAAATCCGTTTCTCAATTACAGCACATAATTTGCACAATACATAATTTGAGGGCACATCTCCCCATTGCTAAAAATACCTTTTGGCCTTTTCTGTGTTTCGTGTGATGAGATCATTATCCATATAAAATAAGCCAATTCTAAGGAGATAGAATACAATATCCAGTCGGTGACCCAGAGCCACAGTTTTGTCATATGTCTTGCGAAAGGCTGTTAGAGCTCCCTCCTGTCAAGAAAGCCAAGGCAACAGAAGAGAAAAGATTACAAGTTTCCAAAGCTATCAGTTGTCCAAGATTTTCTTCAAAAACGATGAGGCAGTAGTAGGTAAAACAAGATAGCCATGGATTGATAATTATTGAAACTGGTTGGTAAGTGGAGGTTTATTAGAATATTCACTATACTTATACAAAGTATAAAAAATATTTTAAAATGCCTAGTCATATAGTTGTATTCTAGAAAATTTAAGGAAAACAATAACTTATTCACAATTGTGAATTCATCTATCCATATGTTCCATTTTTTCCCTTTACTTTTATAATACACTACTTTCAAAATAACTTTACTGTAAATTTTCAATCACCTTTCAAAGGCTAATAGCAACAGTAGCAGTATTAGAACTGAATCTGTCTCAAAGCACTGCAGAACAAAAACGTTTCTGTTGCTTTAAGGTGGGAACATGAATAAAATAATTTCTTTATACTTGGTATACTTTTCAGTCTCTAACTGGTTTATTTTATATATTTGTTATGCTTCAGAAATTTATAAAAGGGAGTGGGATAAAACCAATGGGTATACCTAGCATAAATCTTCGTTTCTAAATATTATTTCCCCACTAAAAGAAACCAGAGGATTCTAGGGGGGAGAGAGAGAGGATTCCAGGTTTGAAGAGGGAAAAATTATAGGTGAGCCTGTAAGATTTCACTGTATCAGAAAATAAAGAGAACCAATGAGATCATATCAAAAGGGAAAACAAACTACCAACAAACCTGCAACAAACTGAGTACCATGAATAATAAAGACTAGACTAAGTGGTAACACAGTGAATAATAAAGCAATATCATTAAGAACTTGCTAATAATAAACAAAATAAGATATAAAAACCAAAACAGTAAACAGGAGAGGGAAGGAGTTCTTTTTGAGAATGCTACTAGATTAAAAAAAAAAAAGAAGAAACATATTAGAACATCATCATCTCACAATCCCCCGATGCGGATTCAGACATGACGTTTAAGATCTGAATCAAAACCTTTAAGTTTCTCATTCACATGCATTAAGTTAACATCTCATCTTTATAACCCAACTAGACTAGCTGCACTGGCACAGTGGTAACACAATGCTTTGCAATTCTGGAAGTCATAGGAAAGGTCCGAGTTTAGAACCCTTGTTGACCTACACACACCAGGAGTGTATATATGATCTTGGCTACCTTTCTGTCTCCCTCATAAAAGATACAAATAAGGGACAGATAGTGGTAATGCAACACTGCAATGCTCAATCCACATGGAAGGTACTGGGTTTGTGTTTGAGGGCATCCTTGTGTACACTAGGTACACACGTGCCCGTGATCTGGGCTGACTGGGGGTGGACGATGGCAGGAAAACCCTGTTAGGTGTGCCTATTTGTCTCTTTCTCATGGGAAAAAAATACAAATAAACTAAAAAGAAAACAAAAACCAACCAAACCACATACATAAATACAACCTAAAAATAAACACAAAGTATCAACTATTTTTGAAGTTTTCTATATTTTCTAAATGTTTACAGAGAGTAAGCCTAAAATATATAAATTGGAGAGCAAAAATAAAACACCTTGTTTTGGGCCAGCAGGTGGCATAGTGGTTAAGACAACTGGACTCCCACATGGCTGACCACAGTTTGAGTCCCAGACCTGGTAGCATGCTTTCTCATTTTCCTTCTCTCTCTCTGTATCTCTCAGGTCAATATCAAAAATAAACAAAGAAATAAATTAATTAATAAAGATAATGACTAAAATTAAATTAAAAAAAAATTTTGGAGAGGTTTTTGCTATACAGTGCGTGCACTCACCAGAAGACAGAGAGAGAGAGACAGGAAGCGAGAAATCACCCCCCAGGGGGGATGACCACGCTGCAATCCCTTCTCCTCCATTCTCATCTCGGGATCTTGGGCATGCACGCACACGCGCTCGGTGTAAATTTAAGCCACCAGGTCCGGAACTCAAACCGCAGTTGACTACATGGGAGTCCAGTGACACAGCCATTATGCCAACTAGCTGGTCCCAATTAAATAAAAAATTATTAAAAAAAAAAAACTTGTTTTAAATTTTAATAAATAGTAACATTAAAGCACTACTTTGTACCAGATATCTGTGTTTGCCCCTATCTGTACTCAAAGTACAGGAAATCATAATAATTACTAAAGCTGGAAACAGAACACATGCAATCTAGTTCCAGAGCTCATGCTATTTATTTTCTACATTAACAGGTCATCCTATGTCTTAACTATTTCAGAGTCCATTACCTAAAATTAAGAAAGCTCATCCTCATCAAATTAAAAACCTGTAAAGATCCAGTTCTGGCGTGTACTCCTCTACTGCGCTCGTGATGAAGTACAAACAAGCTGGATGTTATGCAGGACAATTGGCTGTGCATATTAAAATAATGACTGTCTGCTGTCCCACAATCTCACTTCTTAGAGGAATATTAGGAGACATATGTATGTGTTTCTACATCATCGGTTTGCTCAACTGAAAACAACATCCATGTCATAACTGAACAAACCATGGCATAGGCCTACAGTAGAGTAGTAAGCTGCAGTAAACCAGAACAAACAAAATGTACATTAACATGGGAAGACCTCTTCGGTCTCTATGCACCATGGATATGACACTGAGTAAGGGTAACCAGGATCACGTGAGCACACTGTACTCCCATGACGATAAAAAGGGTTTTTTTAATACTCCCAGTTTTCTACAGGTACACATACACACATATACGTGCACAATAAATGACCTAAAAAGGTTTATCTGAGGACAGAGAGAGTAAAGAAAGAGCAAAAAGGACTTCAGCATTTACTACTACGATGTCTTAGTTCCTTATAAGGAAAATATCACTAGTATACATTTCAAAATGCACCAAAACCAATGCTCTCCCATCAAGAGAGAAGAGTAAACTACTGAGAATGACCCCAATTTTGGGGGGGTGGGGAAGGAGTGACCAAACAAAACCACTGCACATGTATTTATGATTTTACTGGCAGGGACAGGGATGCAGAAGAGCACAGACCCGGCTGCTGTGTAGGGCAGGTGTGTGTACTGCAAGAAAGCTTATTACTTTTTCCTTTATTCATCTTTGCATCAATCCACTAGTTCTGGTCATTTACATTTACACTTTTTTTAAAAAAAAAAATAAAAAAGGAAGTTCATTTTTAAAATGAGGTGTTATTCATTTGGAATAGTCCTTAGTTTTAGATGATACCGACTATGGTAAAGGGACCCTTCTCCACTCACCTTGTCACCTATCCGACAGAGGTACTCAGCCTTTGCCATCATTGCATCCCGAATTTCACTCTCTCCCAGATTCTTCTCAGCATCTTCCAGCTCCTCATCCAAACGTTTCAACTCTTCTTCATTCGCCTTCTTCATTTTATTAAGTAGGTCCATGTCCATCTGCCAGTCGAGGGATTTGCACAAGGCTTCATAATATGGAGCCATGTCTGAAAGCCAAAAGGGGCACGTATGAGGGTCTGCTACACCCCCAAAGTCAGCGTCTGCCCACCTCTTGCCCACACACTGCTGGGTCATGCACCAGTCTCCCACCCACTACCAGGAAGGAATGAGATACATCTTGGGACAACAAAACTGCTTGCTGGTGGGAGACTGCAACAGGGCCACTCTAGGAGCTACCAGTCTCCACTAGGGTGGCGGGAGGGCAATCCGCCGTTCGGGATGGCCTCTGTCCCGAAGGAGTTTTCAAGCAAGGGGAAAGTGCGCCTGTTCACAGACACATGTTCGGATACGTCCGTTCAAACATTCACCACTACGTGCCACTCACAGCTAGGACGGACGAAGGGACCCAAACCCAAACGTGCAGTGCACGGGCAGCTTAGCTGTCCTACAGGAAAACCCCTCGCCCCAAGCAGTCTGCAACAACGGCAAGTCACTGGCCGAGCCTTTGCTCTGTGTCTAGCACCGGGCGGAACACCTTAAGCATCCCTCCGAGGGGAAGGGACGCACAGACCCCTCTGACAGCAAGGCGGGGGCCCCAACCAAAGACTCTCAAAAAGCAGAGAAGCTAGGTCCGGTCTCGGGGTCCCGTCGGAAAGGCGCTCCGAAGTCCGGAGCGCCGTCGGGGAAAACTCCCGCAGACTCCGGAGCGCGGGACCGGCCTGGGCTAGGCCGCTGACTCGGCGCTGGCGCGGGCCTTACTGTTATCGCGGACCGCCGCCATCAGCTCGTCGCGCACCGCCGCGTCCCCGCGGTGCTCGGGCAGGCTGAGTAGAAAGCGCAGCTGCGCGATGCGCAGGTCGGGGTTCTTGGGCAGACCCTCCTCCTCCAGGTTCTCCAGCGGCATAGTGGCAGCGGAGGACAGTGGCAAAGCGAAGACGGATCCTAGGTTCGGACCTGCTGCGGCAGCGGAAGTGGGAGGAGTCGACCGGGAGGTCCAGACTCCTTCAGCCCGGCTTCCGGTCCTGCCGTCTCCGCCGCTGCTCACAGCGCCCCCTTTTGGATACCTCCAGGAACGCCTCGCCCGGCCCGAACGCCTGCGCCCCCGTGTGGTCACCAGGAACTTTTTTTTCACTCAAGGCCCGCAGGGTCCCAAGGTGGGTGGGGCCCAACTCCAAAGTAATCTCTTGAAATCTTAAGGTACTTTGGAGGTACTTTTCATTCCTTTTGCAATTGATAGGAACTGGCAATCATTTGAAAACGTGCTAAAAATAAAAAATACTAACGATAAAATAAAACACCTCAAGTTGAGTCCTTCTCCTGTTACTCATTTACTTTTAATCTTCTTAATGCTAGGAGATACACTGTCAGCCCGTTTGGTAGATTAGAAAACAGGCACAAAAAGTTTAGAGTACAAGATCAAGAAAGGTCATGCAACAGCTATGTGGCAGGGCCTAAATGCAAACCCCCTACAATCCACATCTTGCTCTACAATCCACATTTTTCTGCTTTCCTAAGGAGAAAAAAATGGCACTGAGGATTTCACAGTTTTAATACAACAGCACTATTTTGTTTCTATATAAATTTAATCATTGCGGACCCACATTTTCAGTCAGACTCTTCAGAATGGGTCATTTTATATAAAATCCCACCTCATATATTCACCATCACTTAGTTTTACTCATTCCTCCGTAAGAGGTGTCTTTAGGTTGGCCAGGATTCTTACTTTCCTGATATAAAACCTGAGATAAACCTTTGAATGCAATGACCCATTCATACTATGCTTTTTTCCCCTTAGCATAAATTGCCATGAAGGAAGAATAGGCATAGGAAGTAAGAGTCTTGTGATTTGGGGATATATTTACAGTGAGATGATGTTCCAAAAGAGTTGAACCACTGAAATGGTTGGAACCGCCACATTCTCATAGCAGAAGGCATTTTAATGTAGTACATATTTTTAGAAAAATGAAATAAGTATTTTGAAGACAACTCAAATGACAGAGAAAACATGAAAAGAAAAACAAAATTACCTGCCCTCTACCACTGTTAAACTTTGGGTGAAAAACTTTCTAAACATCTTCCACTTATTCATTCAACAAACATTATTGTATGGCAACAAAGTACCAGGCATAGTTCTAGGCACCAGGGACAGAGCTATGAAGGGTTCAAAGCCCTGGTCCATGAATTTACATTCTAGAAACACAACTTTATTAAAATTCACCAAGGTATATGAATAGACTCATTCTACACTTGTACTTTTATCTGCTTTGTTCATTCCACCACACTGTGAGTATTTTCCCATGCCAATTAATATAGATTAACCCTATAGGATTCCATTGCATTTAGATATCAACTTTCTCCCTATCAATTCTCAACTGATAATTTACATTTTTTTTCACTCTGACAAACTTGCAGTGTCAATTATAGGTGTGCATATATATTGGGTCATTGGAAATGTCATGATGCAGTTTTTGCATAGAAAAACAGAAAAATGCTATGACTTTCCCAACGACCTAATATTTTCACAGTTATGTCTTTTTTTTTTTTTTTTAGATTTTGTTTTGTTTTGTTTGCCATAGGGTGTGTGCCCTTGCTAGAGCGAGACAGAGAGAAAGAGAAAGTGAGAAATCAGCCCCTACCCCAGAGGGGATAGCCACACCACAATCCCTTCTGCTCCATTCTCTTCTCGAGATTTGGGGCATGCATGCACATGCACCTGGCATGTTTTTCAGGCCACCGGGTCTGGGACTTGAACTGCGGAGTTGGCCAGGTGGGAGTCCAGTGCCTGAACCATAACGCCACCTTCTGGTCCAATACAGTTGATTATGCCTTAATCTAAACCCCAAAAGGGCATTTGCTGAAAAAGAGGATATAAAAATTTTACATTTTTGTATCTCTAGAAAGGCTATGTGAATTCTTTTTCCATAAATGACAAATCAATTTACATTTCCACCAATATTGAACACAAGGCCTGGAGAGGGAAAAAATAATATCTTTTCCTCACAGTTCGTAACCAAGGAGGCACCTACAATAAAAGATTAACAGGAGAAAAGCATACACATTCATTTAATGTATGTTAATGATACAGGAGTCTTTGAAATGAAGATCCAGGGGTCAGCAGGTGAGGTTGTTCAGGCCCTGGACTCCCACATGGTTGACCACAGTTTGAGTCCGGGACCTGGTGGCTTCCTTTCTCATTTTCCTTCTCTCTCTCTCTCTCTCTCTCTTGCTCTTGTCTGTTTCTCTCTGGTGAATGCATGTGCACTATAGCAAACAAAATAATAATAAATAAAATTAAATAATATCCAAAAAAAGAAGATCCAGAGAAGTAGAGGAGCCTATACATTTTTATGCTAAGTGACATGCAAGGTGGACAGTGCTACAGAAATGAAGTTTGGGTAAAGAGGGTTTGATCTAATAGCAATGAACTGGGGGAATTTAGCAAGACTTGTTTGTTCTACTCTGTTTCCATGTGTCCTTGGAGATAAGGATATTTCTTTCCTTCAGGTATAGAAGGGTTATCTCAGGAATGAAAGTCATTATGACTTCAGAAAAAAAGTCAAAGAATTCTTTTATGGCCAGCTTCAGAGAAGGATGTGAGAAGGCAAGAGGGACCTACCTGCTCCTGCTGTTTCCTCGCATGTCAAAGTGCCATGTTTTCGAGTCACGTGTCCTAATTTCCATCAGACCTGTCTCCCTTCGTGGCCAACATGCTTCCATCAATCATTTTACACTTTGCTAACAATAACATTGTTCTACTTTACACTTCTTTTGATAATAAGTGGGGTTGAATTTTTCTCCCACATTTATGCTGATTAGTTCTGTTTCCTGTGCTATGAAATTCCATTCGGCTTTGTCAGTTCTCTGTGGAACATTTCCTCATTGATTCAGAAGCAATCTTCACATTTTAAGGATACTTTGTCATGTGTTGCTATTCTTCTCATTTATTTTTCTGCATTGTTACGGTGTTTTCTTCTCAACATAAAAGTTTACAATGTCTGTCTAGTTAAATGTACCCGTCTTTTCAGAGCTGTGCAAGAATTAGATCTATAATCATAGATACATTTTTTTGTTGTTTGTTTTTTGACTTTTGCCAGAGGGGGTGTGTGCTTGCCGGAGACTGAGAGAGAAAGTCAGAGAGCACCTCTCATGGGGTTGGACACGCTGCAATCCCTTGTCCATTTCTCTCCCTCTTGTGGGGATTTAGGCACAAACAGGCACCCAGCATGTCTGAAGCTGCCAGGCCAGAGATTTGAACCGTGCAGTCAGCCATGAGTCACCTGGCTACCTTAACCACCAAGCTGGGAGCTAGCCCACAGACTCGTTTTTAAATGAGGGAAAGCCTGTATTAATAGTTACCCAGTTTAAGCTATACACAGCTGATGTGTTCTGATTTCCATTCACCCGACTGTAGGGTCATAATCTTATTAAGGTTGCAATGGCCAGAAAATAAAAATGATGGGGGATTCTGTGGCTTGTCACGTTCCAGGTGCAGATGGCCTGTGAGGAGGCCACATCCCGAGTCCTGCCACCAGCACAGAGGACGCCAATTCCCAGTCAGGCCTGTTGTCATCTTTTCTCTTTAGCATCGTTGCCATGAATTGCTGAGAAATCAATGGAGCCCTGAACTGCTGCTGTGATCCAGTTGCCCAGCTGATCACAGCGGCTTCTTGCCTCGTATTGACAACTCATTATTGAACAGTAAATCACCCATTCCATCAATCTCTGGGTAACCATTAACTCAATTTGACTGGATTAACTCGTTTTACAAAGACCCTTCTTTAAGCTCAAAGTCTGGGCTCTTTGACATCTCACAGAAGGAAAACAAATATGTCTCTTCTTTGTCAAATCCTGCTCTGAGTAATTAAAAATGTGTAATGAAAGCAGGTTATGGTGAACTAAGTGCATGGAGGTATTCTTGTATTTGCTGTTTGTAGGATTTATTTATTTATAGATTTTTTTTTTTTTTTTTTTTTTTTGGGGAGGTTTTTTCTTTTGG